CAGAAGAGGAACAGACATTAGCAGATTATATGATCAAAACACTGAAAAAAAAACAGTGTTAAAGACCAATTTACTGCCTTGTGATTCTCCTCCTTCACAGGAAACCACCCCTATCCAGCCAGGAGATTGGGTCTTCATAAAGGTGATCAAAAGAAAGAACTGGGCTGTCCCCAGCTGCAAAGGATCGTTTCAAGTACTGCTGACCACGCCTAATGCAGTAATGATCCCTGAAAGACCCAGCTGGATTACATCTCAACCACTGTAAGTTACAGAAAGTGCTGGATCTCTAGGTCATTGGGGCAGTCTGGCGTACATGGGGGGCTTTTCTTTTTAGGGGAAGTCATCTCAAAACCAGTGAAGAAACCAATGATCCCTGCCCTATTGGGATTCTGAGATCCAGTGTTTCTATATACTGAGCAGCAATGGGGCCTCCACTCCTCAGGTGGCTCCTCTGCTGCGCTGTGGTTACAGCATGCTGTGTACTCTTGTGTGTAAACAAAGAAGCTCTCCCAAACAGAAAAAGAGAGATGGCACACCCACACGACTACAGCACCAATCTGTGGTGGCAGCTGATGAACAGAACTGTACATGAAGAGAACGAGTTCAACTGATATGTGTGCACCCTGATGCCCTACGCTACTCAAAACTCAGGCCTGAGATCAGGAAAACATCACAATAGAGAAGCAGAAGTGCCTGTATGGTCTGAGCACACACCCCAGCTACAACACCACATCACAACAAACCATCAAGTGGGAGCAAGAGGAACTACTCCACACCCCTGCAGGTTGCAACAAAAAAAAAACACAAGCCCATAAACTGATCAAAACTGCAGACAAATGGCAGACCTCCTGCCATTACCACAAATGTCAATACAACTACCTGAACTAATTACCTTGGCCAGAGCAAGGTCTGGCTCCCTTGGCCACTGTGTGTTCAACAACGGGACCACAACCATGGGCTCCGTTCCATGGAATCTGTGTGAAAAGGTGCTCACCTTCTGTGACTACACACCCAAGTTTTTAAAATGTTTTTCTTGTGTGACAAGCAAGAACACCACAGGCGACTGTACTCGATACTAGGACCCGAAATGTGGACGCTATCTCCAATGTTGCATATTCAACATCAGCCGACAGACAAAAGGACGTCAAAACACCACTGGCTGCAGTGCCACTGTGCCAGGAGACAGAGGCTCCAGAATTCTGGCTGACTGGTACTTCCTGTGTGGCCACAGAGCTTACACTGCA